TTAGCTGAGTCAATAGATTCATAAAATATTCAAAGTAAAAGATTAATAAATAAGAAAATCTAAATATTTTTTTATTATTTCATTAATTACAAATTAGATTGATGGATATATGTATTTATATATATGTACGTATATAAAGAACTGTGTTTAAAATTACATTTTGCATTCAAATTTATTAAAAACTTGTGTTGGCTACTTTTAGGCTCTTACGTTTTCAAAATTGGCTACTTTGGGCTACTCGAGCGCCATCATTCGGCTACTAGTGACGACAAATTACTGGCAACACTGGCCTTAACCTAACTAATGCATCGCGCAAGGCAGCGCAAGGAGTCGCGTGGCAAATGATGCAATAAAATGGGATATTTTGGTTGATAAATTCGTGACACGACGGATGACACGACGCGTGACGCGTCCAGTGGGAACTCACCCTCTACTCGCGAATTGTAAATCCCGCATAATATTACTATGTCATCAAATGACATGATCACCATGATCACGTGACTACTCTATTCCTAATTCCAGTTCCAGTACCATCCAGTACTTCCAGTCGCTTCATTCGTTTCAAGAGTGTGAGATTGTTAGAGGTTATCAAATGGCGATAATCATGTCAGATGCGAAGATATTGTCGCCACTTGTCACCAGTTAACACGACGAAGCATAAGAAATTAGTGTATTTCTGTGGAAATCGTCATAGATCATCCAAGAAAACGAGAAGCGAGCGAATTCCTTACGCAGAGAACATATTGGTGAAACTCATGTATGTCACGTTACAAAACGAAAAATCGTCTCGACGAACCGACTACAGCCACATCATCTGGCCTTGATGAAAATACACAATCAGCTGTCCCTAATGCCTGCTCTTCATATCTCTTGATGACAACAAAATCATCTTTCCGCTCACCAGTTACATTCTAATTATTATTAGAGAAAAGGCTTGACAAAGGATTTATTTGATCTTAAAACGCTCGTAATCGTAATTTGATGAAATTACATCTATTCTTGCCATTTGGCTGAAGACAGATCCATAAAACCTGCAAGTTTCATCGAGTTCGATGCGATGTGATATGTTATCAATTTGAAAGAAGATAATGTTCTATATATATATTCTATATATATAAAAGAAATATAGAAATAAGTTAAAAAGGAAAGACGGGAAAAAAATCTTCAGAGAACTCACATGGTGTACTTTCTGTTCATACTTTCAATAATGATGGGATTGTTGAAATGAGATAGATAGTTGGAAAAATTTTTGGTGGACCATGTGCGCTACTAGGAGCTTGAGATCTTGACAAAAGAGAGAATTTATTTTTTTTTAGCAAACAATGGCTTGTGATGCTCTTATTTGGGGACTGTTGTTTGTGGGATGCAGCATACAGGCATTATGGGCTATATCCGAAGATGATCCATCGGAGTATATGAATAAGGAAGAGAGAGAAGCTTTAAAGTTGGTATTATTTACTTATTAAATCTTTATATTATGAATTTACTTTTCATAATTATACTATTATATTTTATAGAGAAGAAGCAAGGGATATGTTTTATCATGCATATAATGCATACATGGTAAGCAATAATATTGTATTTGTGATTTATATGTATATTTATTGGTTTACAAGTCTTTATATATATATATATATATAAATTTAAAAATAGTAAAGTCACACACACATACGTACGCGCGCGCGCGTGCCACATACACATGGGAGACAATTATAAAAATTAATATTTCATACTTTTTATTTCAAACAAAAAAAATATTCTAATGTAGATTCATATGTGCAAATATAATACTTAAAAATAATTGCTATAATCTTTCCAAGGATAATGCATATCCTGCTGATGAATTGATGCCATTAAGCTGCAAAGGACGATATAGAGGCTCTGAACCGAATAGGGGTGATATAGATTCTACATTGGGAAAGTAAGAAGCTAAACAGTTTATAAAATAATCCAAATGAAATTGATTGTATTTCTGTAATAGCTTTATGCTTTGTTAGAGTTTAATTATTATAATAATAACTTTTTATTAATGTTACTACAATTATAATTCAATTTGTGTATTATAATTTGCAGTTTTTCACTTACTTTGGTAGATACACTGGATACATTAGTGGTAAGCTGTAACAAGTACTATTTAATATATCACTGATGTACAAATTTTATTTATATATTAATATTTTATATATATTAGGTACTGGGAGATTTGGAAGAATTTGAGAATGCAGTTAAACTTGTTGCTAGAGATGTAAGCTTTGATACAGATGTTATTGTTTCCTTATTTGAAACAAATATTAGAATGCTTGGGTAAGTGAAATCATTGTGATCAAAATTAGAGCGACTATTTTTTATTACAATAAATGTTTAATTTTTATGTTGAATGTTATTTGTCTGTTTACAGAGGTCTCATCAGTGGTCATATATTAGCTGAATATCTACAACAAAGAGCTGATATAATGCCATGGTATAGAGGAGAACTTTTGGACTTGGCTAAAGATTTAGGATATAGATTTTTACCTGCATTTAACACAACTACTGGAATACCTTATGGCAGAGTAAGTTTAATATACAATGATAGACAATATATTTTGTTTGGATATTGTCATGTCTCTATTTTCTTAACTAAAGCTGACATTTTAACAAAGAAAATATATCTTTTTCTTTGCTAAAATTTACTTTAATTATGAAAATAGAGACATGAAAAATAGAGAATCTATTAAATTGAAAGAAGACCGAGAAATGGTCAAAGCAGAATCTTGGTGCTCACTGATATTTCTGTGTGACTTTTACATACACATTCTACTTCCTCGAACTGCGCACCGTTACTTTCGGTCATAATGCAGCTCTTGTTTGAAACAGAATAGTAATATCACATTAATAAATTGATAATCAATTTAATAAATACTGATGCTCACCGGCATCTAATAAAATCTCTCCTATCCTACGATACGATATAAAGAATTATTTGTTGTAAAAAATATTATCTCAGCCAAGATTTGAACCTGGAACTTTCCAGCATTCTGGGGCAGGCGTCTTAATCAACTCGACAATGTGGAGTAGGGGGATTTTATTAGATGCCGGTGAGCGTCAGTACTTATTAAATTGATTATCAATTTATTAATGTGATATTACTATTCTGTTTCAAACAAGAGCTGCGTTATGACCGAAAGTAACGGCGCGCAGTTCGAAGAAATAGAATATGTATGTAAAAGTCACACAGAAATATCAGTGAGCACCAAGATCCTGCTTTGACCATTTTTCGACCTTCTTTCAATTTAATTTCGTTAGAATACACGGTCGGAATCTGACGAATTTATAAGAAACTACGCGTACGCTCGTACGTGACGTTTGCCAATACTAATTTACGTTCTTTAATTTTATTTGTATAAAAATATAAAAACAAAATTGTGAATTAATATTATTAGGCGTCATACAGTGCTGTCGCGTAATAAATCACAAGCGTATCTCATAGCCAATCCAAACACGGATGCAAAATTCCTTAAAAATGCATCGGAAAAAGCAGATTAACAAAAGTTAATATTTTTGGTGAGATCTAGTTCATGAAGTTCGTCTTAGGTTTTGAAAAATCCTGTACAGTCGTGAACATATCGGTTGTACTTTTTTCATAAGTTTTTAGTACATATTTAATATAATATATAACATATATTTTATAGGTAATTAATATTTTGCAAATGCGAACCACGATAGTGTACTATCTTTAGTCTAGAGACAGTACACCAACCGTGGTTCGCATTTGCAAAATATTAGTGCATTTCAAAACATATTTAAAAAAGTGTCGCAACCGATATGTTCACGACTGTACTAAAGAATTTAACTACTTTTGAATTTAACTAACATTGGGATTACTAACATCTAAAATTTTTTTATATGAAACAATAAACTATTATTACTTAGCAGTTTTCCGTAAGAAAAATATAAAAATAGGCATCTTTTAGCATCTCTAAGTCACTATTTTTCTAATTTACGTATCAATTTTAATCAAATTAGATATTTTTTCTCCGATGCATAGTTGTTTAATGACTTTTTTTTAAATATATGGCTTATAATAAAAGATGGCACTAATTACTTTATATAATTGTTCTACTGATACTTTAATTGTCGGAATAGCATATAAATTAAATTTTTCTATTTTTATTATAATTTATTCATCTTGTTTTAAATATAAAAATGAATAATAAATTCTCGTGTCTATATTAATTCATTTTTAAATAGTATATAATTCTGTGTACAATTTTTACTGTCATATAATCACTGATATTAATGCAAAAAGGTAAAAAAAATGGTTAAGAATAATTCTTTTTTAAACTACTAAAGAGAATATGAATCAGCTCAATTAATATTAGTCAGAATCAATTCAGCCGTTATTGAGGTACAAAAATGTAATCTGGGTTTATCTCAGGTTCCGTTTATCAGCGGTTCATGTAAATAACAGGCTTTACCGAGAAACTGTTGTATGCAATATTACGCGGAAACTTGGCGCGAGATGCTACCGCGTCTCATGAATACATATTACATATGTACACGTTTATACACGCTCGTATGCAACGCGAAATTGACAGAACGATAGATGTATGAGAGAAAGAGGAGGGGAGGAG